TCTTCTTGGCCTAAGACCGAGTTACACCAGCCCTTATCTCGGCCCATTACGCGACCCAACTCCCAAAGAAGACTCTTCCTAGCTCGGCCCAATTTGTTTACAAATTACCCTCTCAATTGCCCCTTAATTCCATCTGCGTAGCATGATTGGGATTATTTTTCCTCCAGTCGAGCTAAGAATGCTCCACTCTGCCGAGCTAAAAAGTTATTTGGTTTCATAGCTCGTTTGGCCCCAATAAGCCTTGTCAGTTGCTCAACTTGTTCTTCCACTAATCTGGCACGCTGTCATTCCCAATATACGTGGCGTACTCCCATTATCCTCGTTCTCTTGTTACAACCGTCATGTACTTTCAAAATTTTGAACAGCCCCGCCTTTTTGCCTTCAATATTTATATCCTTCGAGTTCGCAATCATATGAGCAGGCGTTCTTTTAGTGTAACCGGGCTATATGTCCCACATTTTGTAATCATCTTCTAATTAATAATTTCGATCTCTTTGCTCGGTTATTGTATTTTTTTTCAATGTTTTGCATTATTCCGACCGCATGCCTAGCCAAACTAATTAGCTTGGCCTTACCTGATCCTGCCAACCTTCTTTGGCCGAGATACGCATCTCGACTGAAGAATCCAAAAAACTTGTTGGTCAAACCTGCCAACCTATTTTGGCCGAGGTAACTGTCATCCCAGCCAAAGAGTGCAAAAGTTTTGTTGGTCATACCTGCCAACTTCCTGCAGCCTAGATCCTTATCTCGGCTTAGGAGAGCTAAATGTTGGTTATTCCTGCCAACCTTCTTCAGTCTAGATCTTTATCTCGGCTGAAGAGAGCTAAATGTTGGTCATACTTGCCAACTTCCTGCAGCCTAGATCCTTATTTCGACTTAGAAATGAAAAAAGTGTTGGTCAAACCTTCCAACCTTTTTGTTGCCCCTCAGTCGGGCAAAAACTTATTTAGAAAGAGTTGGTCAAACCTACCAACCCACTTTGCCCCCAGTTGGGCAAAGACTTTTGCGCGATCAATCCTACTTATCAACCGTGTTAACTCTCGCCAAAGGCTTTTTGTCTAGTATCACTGTTACACCGGACTTTGCCTTGGTGCGCGCCCCATCTTCCTCTACTCAAATGTGTTAGTGCACTCTCTCCATTAGGGCTTCCATAGTAAGGGGCGGCGTCATTGTCATTGAATCCCTCAACTTATTGCCAGCCGACAAACCTTGTTTGTACTGTGCGATAGCTAGGTTTGTAGGGCAATCTCCAATCTAATTAAAAGTCTCTCAATACCGGTTATTGTAAGACCTCAATGTTTCTTTCTCATTCATGTCTATGGAGAGAAGCTAGTCAATCTCCACTGGTGTCTTGGTGTTCGTTCTGAATCTGGTCACAAATGCCTCCGCTAGTTGCACCCACGAAGTTGTGCTACCTTCTGGCAACCTTTCAAACCACGTTAAACCCAGGTCACCAAGGCTGAAAGGAAACATGATACACATTAGAGTCTCGTTTCGCCTATACACGGCCATAACCTGGTAAAAGTGTCTCAAGTGTATGTAGGGGTCCGACTTCCCCTCATAAGTAGTGAATTTGAGCTGGTGGAAGCCTGAGGGTAATGGTGCGTTCTCTATTGTCGGAATGAACGGTGTGCTCTGCAACCTTGCTAACGCTTTGTCTGCTGGTTCATAGGCAAGACGTGGCTCTGGAATTCAAACCTCGACACTCCTATGTGTTCTAGAAGCCAATCGTTGTAGTGCGAAGACTCTACGGGGGTCGCGAGCCTGAGTGTCTTCTCTTCTTCGAGTCCTTTCAGTCCTCATTCTCTCAGGCCTGGAGTAGCATGTCCTGGAAGTTTTTGATTGTGTATCGCCCGACCTGAGGTTTCTACTTTCAATTTGTGATGACGTGACTTGTCTGTCACGATCTTCTGAGTGGCAAGAGTGTGCGTTGCCTTTACGCCCCTCTTTTGCTGCCACCCTTTTGCCTTTTATCTGGCTTTTCATAGACTCTATGTCAGCCGCCATTCTTCTTATTACTTCGTCTTGCTCCCTTACACGATCTTCGAGAACCTGAGGATCCATCTTCCGCCTCTATCTATTAGGGCTTTGAGAGCGTTGTGGACTTGAGCCCCATCTTTCTCCTGCTTCTCTCCGCAGATTCCTTCACTGGGGATCTAATTCCACTATGGGTGGGATATAAGGTAAACCTTCGTGCCTCCCACCCCTTTCCGGGGTTTGCCCATCTATAGCAGATTGCGGAAAATCTTCGTTATGCGCCATTGATTTCAATTAGAGAGGAAAACTCGATCAAAAGGTTTTGTTCTATGTATAATTTCCACAGACGGTGCCAATTGTACGAGCACAGAAATAATCTTCTCGTATAATCCTGTTGATCAAGTTTACACTCCTTCAAACATCGTCGCTTTGCCACCTGAAAACACAAATACGAGCTAGCCGGCGAGTTTGTGCTAGAAATCCCTCCGATGCCTAAGTCAGTAACTAAACAATAGACAACAAACTCTGTGTATTTTAGAGTAAGAATTGGGGTACTGTACATAGGTCTGGTCATGAGCTTTTATAGACTTTACTTGGCATAATCTTAGTAGGATTCCAACTCTCCTTATAAGAGTCCTTCTAGGAATCACATACCCTACTCACCACCAACCAAGTGAGATGGTTTGCACAATCCTAGTAGGACTTTACTCTTCTTAGCAGAGTCCTCCTAGGAGTTACACTCCTACTCACTACCAACCAAGTGAGATGGTTTTGCATAATCCTAGTAGGACTCTACTCTCCTTAGCAGAGTCCTCCTAGGAGTCTCAAGCCCAAGGATAATGATTATTCCTAAAACACCCTCATCATTGCAAGCCAAGTGAGATGGCTGAACCCTTACCTTGGCTGATATTGCGGTCAACCGTGCTCACACAGCTCGGTGGTACTTTAAGCACCACTGTCAGTCTTGACTCTGAGATGATGTCCTGCAGAGTTATCCTTTAGCTCGGTTCTCCCTCCACTGATACCTCGGTCTAGGATAGCTAGGTCAGGTCACTGGTAACCCATCTCTGACTAACCCGATGTTTAGAGGATCAAGGACCGTGCTACATAAATAATTATCTCGGCCTATAGTTCGGTCCAAACTCGAAATATGAGATGTCTTCTTGGCCTAAGACCGAGCTACACCAGCCCTTATCTCGGCCCATTACGCGGCCCAACTCCCAAAGAAGATTCTTCCTAGCTTGGCCCAATTTGTTTACAAATTACCCTCTCAAGTAATATTCATTATATTTTGTGTTTTGCTAATTTGAACTATTTATTTTATAAAATATTTTTATAATTATTTATTAAAAAAATTAAATTAATTCGATAATTATAACCTATTTAATTTAATGTTTTAATACAAAAAAATAAAAGATAAATTACACTTTATCATTTTTATATTTGGCTACTTTTTCACTTTGGCTCTTATAATTTATTTATTTTTCATTTTAATCTTTCATGGTTTAAGTTTTTCTCATTTTACTTCTAAAGCTAACTATTGTTCAAAATTAGACAAAAAATGACACAATAATTGTCACATAATATAAAAAATATATAATTATATTAGAGTTTAAGTTTATATTAGAGGTGCGAGTGGCTTGGTTTGACATCTTCAAAAAAAAGTCAAAAAATCATATCATCCTATTAAGTCACATCATATTATTTAAGTCACATCACTTCTCTACCACATCACTTCAAACTCAAGCCATATTTTATAAAAAGTCAAAAAATGTACTTATTTAGATCATCCCACACCACCCTATAAATAAAATATTTTTATGTCACGTGATTATAATATAAATTAATTTTAAGAATAAAAGTGGGAAAAACTTAAAATATAAAGGTTAAAGTAAAAAAAATAAATTTTAAGAGTCAAAATAAAAAAATGGTCAATCATAATGGGAGGAAGTGTAATTTACCCCAAAATAAATGGTCTATGGTGCTACGTGAGAGAGTTAGGATTTGTTTGATTTGTGTTTTGAGATATTATTTCAAAAATAATTTTTTAGATAGACTTTAGAAAAAATGAAATTTGTTTGTTTGTATATTTTAAAAATAGTTTTGGAGTTTTAGATGATTTGATATATATATATATATATATATTTGTTTGTTTGATTTGTGTTTTGAGAAATTATTTCAAAAATAATTTTTTAGATAGACTTTAGAAAAAATGAAATTTGTTTGTTTGTATATTTTAAAAATAGTTTTGGAGTTTTAGATGATTTGATATATATATATATATATATATTTGTTTGTTTGATTAAGTGGTATCCTAAGTATTATTGGTTGAAACAGTAAATCTCATTACTTGTTTGTCTCATTTGAGGAGACAATTGGACACTTGTCCAAAAATTTTATCTTCTTTAGAGAGATAATTAGATACTTGTCCAAAAATAAATAATTTAAAACAATATTTCAGAGGCAATGAATAATTTCTGGAAAAGGAGAGAAAAAATAGTGACTGTTGTGCCTCAATTTGAGGTGCATTATGGACTTATTTTATGATCTGTACCGTTCATTTTGTAGGGTTTGTTGAGTACTTCATATCTAAAAAAATTATATTAATCGGATATCAATAATTATATGATCGAATTGAATATTTTTTATGCTATTTTTCAAAAGAAAAACTTATTGTTTATTTTGTTTGATTATCGATCATATAGTTATTGATATCTGATTAATATAATTTTTGGCAAGTATGAAGTAATTAACAAATTCTACAAAATGAACGGTTAAGATCATAAAAATAAATTCATAATATATCTCAAATTAAGACACAACAGTCGTGCTTTCCTCCAAGAAAAAATGACCGTTGACGTCTAATAAAGAGATAAATATTTTAAAATTTTTTCCCCTAAAAATATATCTTGATTAATAAACCAGACATGCCCTTAATTGCCCTCTTCTTAGAGTGCATTCGTTTTTGTTTGGAGTTGGGTATTTTCGTCTTTCCGCGTTAAAAACCAAGAAATATAAAGAAGTGGATATGGAAGAGATTTGGATGATGTGGTACTCATAAAAGATAGAGAGAAAGCTCACTGCTTCACTCACTAAAATCTTCTCCACTCTCACTCCCACCACCGCCGGAGACCCCAATTCTGGCCCTAAAACTCCACCTCCGGCGACCCACAAAAGGTACTACTCATTTCTCTCACTCTACACAGCATTGTCTTGCAATTTGATTCTTTCTATTTCTTTGTTTTTGGCTCATTGTGCATGAATTTCACTGGGTATTTTTGATGGGTGCTTTTGTGATTTATGTATATTATTAGCCTATGTTTGTCAATTGAATGGATGGGCTGTGAAATTCAAGTTAGTTTGTTTTGGCTTATTGTGCATAAATTTTACTGCGTATTTTTCATGGGTTCTTTTGTGCTTTTATGTATATCAGCATATGATTGTCAATTGAATGGGTGGGCTGAAAAGTTGAAATTAATTCTGGTTTAGTGATTGAAATTGGACTATTTACCTGTGAAATTTCATTCAAATTGCAATCTTCTCACCCTTTCAAACTTTTTGTGGGACTTGTATTCTTTTGAATCTATTGCTGGATCAATACATTTGCCTTGCTTGTCATGATTTGCCAAATTTTTTTGTCAAATTTTTTTTCTCTCTTTTTTGTGGGTAGAAAATCAAAATAAACTTATATTATTAAGTATTGTGATTCTAATGAGATGGCTTTCATCTGCAATGAACTTGGAGTACGTAATTTAATGGTGAATTTTCCAAAAGGCAAGTTTTACGAAATGTTGGGCCTTGGATAATTATGCATTTTTGGAAATCACAAGTCAAAGCTTAATGATGATTTGAAAAAATGATTACAGGGAGGCTTGAACAATGTATTTGAATGCTAAAGTGCAAGCTCATTAAGTTTATGATCTAACTAGGCAAACAAGTAGGGGACCGTGTAAGTGTGGTACACATGAGGTATACCTCAATATCTCATCAATATAAGGAACAAAGATATTCAGGGGATTTAAGACTTTGGAAGAATGAATTAGAAGAGTTGATGGAAGGTTTGCTAAACACGGAAATAGCCTCTCTAGTGTGGGATACGGTAGCATACATCAGACCTGTACGGGGGTGAAACATCCTCCGTTCTCCGTACTCCTTGAACTCAAGCTTCACATAATGTCGCTTGACCTGAAAACAGAAAGATGGTGAGCTGTCCGGCGGTATGCTGCTGGATAAACCCTCCGACGGTCAAGTTAGCACACTTGGAGAAGAAGAAGAAAAATTGGAATAGAGCACTTTAGAGACAGAGAGAGTTATCAATTCCGTCAGGTTGCTTACCTACGTTTCCCCATTCCTCCTTTTCTAGGCTGGCCATGCAGCCTCAGAGATTGTGGGCGCACTACCTCTGCTGTCCTTCCCTGGACAGGCGTTTGTGCTCCCTTCTACCTTCCTTACACGTGTAGAGACCAAAACCTCTAAACAGTGTTTGTCGAATGGCCAAACGGTATTGACGCATACCAGGAGTGGATTTTCCCTTCATCATATCATTGGTCCAAGTGGCTCACATAATCGGGCTATCAAGCCTGACCTACCACTTGGGGAGAAACACCACAATAATTGGGACGGCCGAACTATACTAAATTGGTCCATTTGAACTAACCGGTCGTGAGATGCGCAGTTTGGTATCTCGGTCTCGCCCCGCTACCTTACAAAACATCTTGGCCTAAATTCAATCTGGACTGTCCGCAGCTCGGCCCAATGCATCACTGCGGATCTAACCGAACATCAGGCCGAATTGTAGCTCGGTCGAGCACCTGCATGCCTCCACATTCTGGTTGATGATCTGCTCGGCCCAACGTGGTGGATCAGGGAGCCGTGTTGGTTTAGCTCGGTCTGACACAGGGCCTGACCCTCGCAAGGCCCAACACCATACCCGCGCTATCATAGCTCGGCCCTACTATTCGGCGCAAGTCCCCTTCTCAATTGCCCCTTAATCCCATCCAAGCTGAGTGTGATTGGGATTATTATTCTAACCGAGCTACCTGATTTGGTCGGTCGTTGAGGATTGCGCCAGTGGTCTTGTCATCGATCGTTCCACGTGGTTTCACTCCATTGGTTCCGTGCAACCCCACAGTTGTCTTTATCACGCGCAAAATTCAAAGGTTGCCGCCCTTTGGCTTCCCCCCCTTTTTATACCTACGTGAGGGGCCAAAAACGCCACCACTGTTCATCTTCTCTATCAAGCCAAACCCTAGCCTTCAAATCGCCAAGCTCTTGCCACCGCTGCTCTTCGAGTCGTTTTCAACTATCTTTGTCCTCACGAAGGCTTTACACAAGGTCGTGGTCGAATGGGTCTTCACTTGGCATCCATATCCGTAAGTTTTTTTATCCTTCCTTTGCATTCTCCATTAATATTCTTCGTGTTCTTGTCTGGGATTGTTTGGTACCCTGCCAGTGCCCCTTCTTTGGGGTAAAACTGGTAGGTAAGCATACATTAGGTAAAACTGGAATCGAGGAGGCAGATGGGGCCATCGTGCCCCTCGTTTCCCTTAGCTTCAATGCATGAACTTCACATTTAGGATAAATAGCATAAACCCTTGAGAAGACCGAGCAAAATCCTACTTTTAGATCCAAAATAAGACATAGCCGAGCAAAACCTGGTTTGTGGTCCTCCCTTGAGTCTGAGACTGAGCTGTAAGTTGTAGGGAGCTAGAACCGAGATAGGAAGATCGAAGCAATGTAGATAGTCGAACCGAGCTAGGGAGATCGAACCGGTCAAATGCCCCGGGATCCTTTATCGAACTAAACACTTCCTCGTAAGAGTCGTGCAAATTATGCCGCGCTAATACTCGGACTTATTTTTTAATAATGCAGAACAAACTAGGACCGACCAGGCTCACTCAGCTTTACTTTCAGTGAGGCTCAAAGTCCAAGCAAACAATCACCAAATTTTGACCGAGATACAAACAAAATTACACAACTAAATAAAACCGAGATAGATGGGGAAGTACCGGTTCATGGTTAATTCGCCTGGGGCAATGACCGAGTTCCGTACAGAGTATAGTATTCCAGACGACGTCCACTTGGAGCTGGCCAAGAAAGGAGACACTCCCTGGGGCGAACTGGACAAATGCCCTTTCACGGTGGTATCCATTGTGGAAGGTGGCGTGCACTTCCCGGTTTAATCCCTGGTCTGCGAATTTTTGAGGCAGACTAGGCTGTGCCCGACCCAAGTCTCCAACAACACATACAAAATAATAAACGGCGTGGCTGCGCTGAATAGGATACTCGGTCTGAATCTCGGCCTTGCCGAGATATTTCATCAAAATACTCTTAGCAAAAATAAAGGAGGGTTTTGCTGGTATCTCAAGGTCAGGAAAGGCCAAGCAAAACTCATCGAAGGTAACCCGGACAAAGAGACCAACGACGGCGATTTCCTGTGGGTGTTCGGTAATTATGAGGACACCGAAGCGCTTGTACCGGGTTGGTACATAAGAAAAGATTTTGGGAGTGCTGGTGAGCATCTCGACATTTTTTTGTAACTGTTATTTTTACTGCCGATCTAGCACTTGCCTTCTTGTTGCAGACTATAGACTCTTGGCGGAAGATTACTCCCGCGCGAACCAAGAGGCCATAAGGGTTGCATTGTGGCATCTGGTCGAGGAGCGAGAGTCCCACAAGCTGCTCGGCTTTGAACCGAGCTACCGTTACACAGCGCCGCGCAGGAGCAGGGTGACCGACTTTCTTCGAGCACCTTCTGCAGAACCAGATCCAAACCTTCCTCCGATCAAACTAGTTCTTTTGACCGCTGAGCAAGAGATGGCCAAAATTTGGGCTATCAAGTCAATGATCACTGGCGAGCCGAGCGACTCTCAGCTGCCAGAGGCAGCTGGGGGAACATCTTCCACGCCGGCCGTGCAAGACAAAGGGGCAGTGCTGGCTCTCACTAATGAACAAGCTGCTGGTCAGTCTATGAAGAGGTCGAGAAGAGGTCAATCTAAACAACATTTGGTGGACGAGGATTCCATCGAGAATCCATTTGTTGACCTGGGGACCAGACTGAACAACCAATCACCGAGCCATCAGCTCGCTCCAGTGCCCCTCCAGTCTGGTCGCCCGAGATGACATACAAAGGCTGGGCAGTTACTACTGCCGACAAGGACTACTCACTCGGCTTCAACATGACCAAGGGATTGCTCCTCCCTGCTGACATGAAGAAGCATGAAGAGCTGTCCGACCTAATAGTCATCTGCTCGGCAGCAAAATCAATCGTGCCGGTAAGTGAGCGAGCTCCCTTGTCGTTAACTTGTTGCTCGGTTTTGGTGTGCTGACATTTGTCTTTTGTTTGCAGGCCGCGCAGAAGAACTATCTGGCCCACGAGCGAATGATCGCTGTGAGACAGAGTGTGCGGGGAGGCCATTGCCGATAACAAGGCCAAGACCGCCGAGCTGGCAAAATTGAAGGCCACGCAGGAAGAGGCGGTGGCCGAGCACGACAGACTCGCAGAGCGGCTGGCCAGAGCGGATGGCCAGAGCGGATGAAGATAAGCAAAACGCCCTCCAAGTGACCAAGGCCCGATACATTGCCGAGCTACGCAAACTCTGCGACGCCCACAAAGCCGAGCTGGACAAGCAGGTCGACGATGCTGAGGACCGCGGCTATGCGGAGGGTGAAAAAGCTTACAAATGGCAAGTGCAGGGGACCAAGGACAATTTTTTTCCAGTGCGGTTGGAAAGCCGCCGTGGAAAAACTTGGCCTTGGTTAAGACTCCAATGTGTTCTAGAACCCTCTTGCCGCCTTCATCCCGGTCCACATGCAAGCTTACGCCAACGTCGTGCAGAAGAAGCTAATTGAAGAGGCGAAGCTGGCAGCTGCAGCAGAAGCTTCCACGGTGCAACTGACCGAGCAAAATCCTCCTTCTGAGGTTTTTGAGGAAGGAGCCCAAGAGCGCGAGGAGCCCGCGTAGGAGGTGGACGCGGTGGTCGGTGCTCAAGTGGAAGACGCCGAGATGGAGGCGACTGACCAAGCGAACACTGTTGACTTGGATTGACCTTTCTGGCTTTTCTTCTCTCTCTTTTTTTTTTTTTGGATGTAACCGGGCTATGCCCCACTTTTGTAATCAAACTTTATTATGAATGAAAAGTTAAACTTTTTGCTTGCCATGTATGCGAATTTCTGTT